AGCAGGAGAGTGCCATCCCACAAACTCCGACAGCTGAACAACAGGTAGGGTCGAATGACATGGAAGTGGATTTTGATCTGCCTGCGGCAGCAACATTTCCGACTATATCAAAAACACCAGCAGACCTGACCCTCGATATTGACGAATCATCCAATCTAAGCTTAGAAAATATATCACGTGAAGATGATTTTACGGAAGTTGGGCCTAGTATGGGCAGAGTTCCTGTAGCTCCTGAAACTCAGATTGAAGCTATCAAACTGGAAGACGATCTCGAACCTTACGACCCCACAGCTGACTTGAGACGATATAAAATGCCGTCAACAGACCTCTTACTGGAGTATGCTGATCAGAAAGTGGAAGTAGACAGGGCCGAACTGGAAGCCAATAAAGATCAGATAATAGCCACCTTGCTGAACTATAAGATAGAAATCACTAAAATCAGAGCAACTATAGGTCCAACGGTGACTCTATACGAAATAGTGCCGGCTCCTGGTGTAAAAATTTCCAAAATAAAAAACCTGGAAGATGATATTGCTTTGAGCCTTTCTGCTTTAGGTATCAGAATCATAGCACCTATTCCAGGTAAAGGAACGATAGGTATCGAAGTACCTAACAAAAACAAACAGATCGTATCCATCAAAGAAGTATTAAGCTCAGAAAAGTTTATTAATACCAAGATGGCTCTACCTATTGCATTAGGAAAAACAATTTCCAATGAAGTATTTGTAGCTGATCTTGCCAAGATGCCGCACTTACTGGTCGCTGGTGCCACAGGACAAGGAAAATCTGTAGGTATCAATGCCATATTGATGTCACTACTTTACAAAAAGCATCCATCTCAGGTCAAATTAGTATTGATAGATCCTAAGAAAGTGGAACTATTTCCTTACGGCTATCTTGATCAGCATTATCTCGCTTTCATTCCTGATCAGGACGAACCTATCATAACTGAAACCAGCAAGGTCATCAATACTCTGAATTCACTTTGTATAGAAATGGATAACAGATATGACTTGCTGAAGAAAGCAAGAGTCAGAAACCTGAATGAATACAATGAAAAATTTATAGACAGGAAATTGAGTCCTAAGGATGGTCATAAATTTTTGCCATACATAGTCTTGGTCATTGATGAGTTTGCAGATCTGATCATGACTGCGGGCAAAGAGGTGGAGTTGCCTATCGCCCGTCTCGCACAGCTTGCAAGGGCCATTGGTATTCACCTGATCATAGCCACGCAAAGACCGTCAGTCAATATCATCACTGGTATCATCAAAGCCAATTTCCCTGCGAGACTTGCATTTAAGGTCACTTCCAAAATTGACTCGAGAACCATCCTGGATGGAGGTGGAGCAGACCAGTTGATCGGTATGGGTGATATGCTCCTTTCCATAGGAAGCAATAACGTCAGGATACAATGTGCTTTTGTAGATACACCTGAAGTGGAGAGTGTCATCAAACACATAGCAGATCAGCCAGGTTTTGCAGAGCCTTTCTATCTGCCGGAATATAAAAGTGATGATGAAACCGGTGCAGGAAATTCTGATTTGAAAATGTCAGATCTGGACGAAAATTTTGATGAAGCTGCCCGATTGATCATCAGTGCTCAGCATGGATCTACATCACTCATCCAGCGTAAAATGCAACTCGGGTACAACCGTGCAGGAAGAATCATGGATCAGATGGAACAACTAGGCATTGTCGGGCCAGCTCAGGGAAGCAAACCCAGGGAAGTTTTATTTTATTCTATTGACGAGCTTAATAATTTTCTGACTGCAATGAGAAACCGTTGATAAAATGAAATAGTTTAAAAACCTAATTTTGAAATCCAAAAATAAAACCGGGCAATAACCTTTGTCCGGTTTTTTTTATTTTAGAGTATGTTCAAACTTTTTAAACCCACTTTGCTGAAAATTTTCAAATTGGTCCTGAATCCTCAGAAAAGCCAGCATGTCATGATTCAATATTGACTCATGATCCACGAGTCCGCATTCCACAGCCTTTTTCAGATTTTGATAGCCATTGTCTTTATCTTCCAGATTGGAATATGCACAAGCCAGATGAAAATATATTTCAGGGTCTTCCTGATCAAGTTCCTTTGCCTGATCAAGCAACGATATAGCTTCAGGGATATCGTATTGCTTCAGTTTTACTAGTGCTTTTGATTTGAGTTCCTGACCCGGTGATTTGGGTTTTGAGCCATATGGCAATTTTACATTTTCATAAATCAAAGTCCCATTGCGTGTAAGATCAACGCCTACATTCATCATACTATCCAGAATTTTGGTAGTCAATACATAATTGACCTTCGCTCCATTTTCGTGAATGCTGAAGTGGTGGTTGATGCCAACAACAGAAGATTTTTTAGATACGATTTTACCACCAACGATGACGGTTTCTTCTCCGAGCCAGTTATTGTGAAGCTCAATGATTGTTTGTTCGTATTTTAGCTTTAGGTATTGCATGAACTGAAATTTTGTTTTTTCACTCAAGGCTTTTGTAAAAGTTTGTTAAAGTTTTTATGTCAGAGAGAAACAAAATCAATCATGCTCTACATCCTGCTTTTCATTAGGGACAGCAGGATCATTCTGCGGCAAAATATATTCTTTCTGCTTTTTGCCAAATACCGAAAAATGTGCATATCTCTTAGGATTGAGCCTCAGATCCTGAAGCAATAGATCGAGGTTCCTGGAAGTAGATTCTATGTTTTGATAGAGCTTTTTATCATTCATTAGTTTGGCCAATGAACCATCGCCGTTTTCCATTTTTTTGAGCATCTGGCTCAGGTCATACATTGCATTTCCGGCAGTCTGCAGCGTGGATTTCAACTCTGTGATGGCTACTTTTGACGCATCAAGTGTTTCGTTGGTTTTTGCTATAGTATTGTTTAGATTAGCTTTGGCAAGGTCAGATGTGATCTTATCGAGATTGGCCAGCATTCCTTCGATTTTCTGATTGCTTTTGGCAAGAGATGAAGTGATTACTGCCAGATTATCCGTTGTCTTTTTTATGCCAGATGAGGTATTGTTGACCAAGGCATTTGCAGACGAGGTCATGGCATTGATGTTTTTTGTAATTTGTTCCAACTGCCTTACTGACTCATTTACAGCACCGGGTTCGCCTTCTTTCCCAACATTGGCGATCACAGATCTGAGAGTTTTGGTCAATTCAGAACTGTAAGCTGCCACATCACTATCCCCAAGCATGGCTTCAAGCAAGCTGATGGATCCACTTTCCAGTTTGTCACCATTTTGGGCACAATCATTACCAGTACAAGCTTTATCAAAATCGAGAAATATACCTTTACCATCTACTACACCCAAAGATTTTAAGTTAGCAATGGCAGTTTTTGGTATTTTGTAGTCACTGTCTATCAGATAAAATACATCCATCAGCTTGACATTTTCACTGTTCAATCCGATTTTTGTCACTGTGCCGATCTTATATCCATTGACCAATACGGGAGATGAAACATTCAATCCTTCTATATCGGCATAAGTCGAATGTAATTCATTGGCAGCTGTCAGCA